TCTTATGAAGAACATCAGAAGTTTTTAATTTTGATAAAGTCCAATTTATCAATTTGTTATTTTATGGATTATGCTTTTGGGGTCATAATACCGCCAGACCCCTACTGACTAAAGGTTTAAATTCTGAAACCCAAAGGCTAAGAGGGAAGAATCAGATCTCTCATCTCCATTTCTGAAGTCTTCATTCACATTCCTCATTACTTTTCCTTATCAGAGCATTGATGCATCTGATTGGTGAGTGGCAAGAGCCTAATGTCTACTGATTCACACATCTCCAATCAATGCAGTTCATGTTTTAGGGAGCTGCACAAATGCAAAAGAAGTGGTTCTGAGCATTCGTATGTATTCTACACTCTCTAATTCTCAGGTGGGTCATCCTGTATAAACTTAGGATGTCCATCTGGCCACAGTTCAACTGTGTTCTCCAATTCAGTTGAATAAAAATTAAATTTTTATTTTCATCTGTCTGTTTCTATGTTTTATTTCTCAATATGTTCTACACTCACAGGTGGAGGGAAGAAGCATGATCCATGATCAACTATCATATATAGCTAGATATGTCTAACACAAGATAGTTTTAATATACTACAAAAATAAATAAATAAATAAATATACTACAGACATAAAAGAATATGAAGTCATAAAATATATAATACTTATAACTATGGAGAAATAAGAAAAAAATGTATGACATAATACTAAGTAAATTTTAAAAAGCAGAAATTCAATATGGTACACTCTATGATTACAATTGAAAACAGTTATTGGGCATGCATATGACAACAAGTGGGAAGTATTATGCCAAGAAAATAAATAAATAAAGCTATAACGAAGTAATGAGAATATAGGAGGTCGATTATTTATTTATTAATAAAATTTATTAATAAAATAAATAAATAAAGCTATAAGAAATAATGAGAACATGGGAGATAGATTATTTATTCATTCATTCATTCATACATACATACATACATACATACATAGTATCACCCTGGGGTAGAGTGCTGTGGCATCAGCCTAGCTCAGAGCAATCTCAAACTCCTGGGCTCAAGTAATCCTCCTGCCTCAGCCTCCCAAAGTAGCTAGGACCACGGGTGTGCTTCACCATGCCCAGCTAATTTTTTCTATTTTTAGTAGAGACAGGGTCTCACTTCTTGCTAAGGCTGGTCTCGAACTCCTGAGCTCAAGTGACCCTCCTACCTCAGCCTCCCAGAGTGCTAGTATTATAGGCATGAGCTACTGAGCCCAGCCTAAATCTTAAAGTCATTATAATCTTTCACTAATCAATGCCTTAGGACAAAATCAGAAAGGAGACGTATGGAGAAAGAGTGCTTTTAAAACAGTGAAACTCAAGATATTTTTAAACTTTTTAATTGCCATTATGATGCTGCTTATGTAACAAAAACAAATTTAAATAAATATAAATCAAACTACTCGCCCCGCCTTTTTGTGCATACCTGGGAGCTTTTTTCCAGGCGGTCATCTATCTTATTTTCTACAAATCCAAGGCAGCAGCCGTAACCACTCTTGCACTGAAGTGATCCATTAGGGTAAGCTAAGACTCTATGATCAGATGTCTCACTGGCACCAGGTCATGGTAAGAAGCTTTCAAGTAATCAACAAAAGCCTCAGGTAGCTTTGAGCTCACTACTCCAAGTTATCATCAGGAACCTTAGCATAGCAATGTACTCTCTCTCTACAAATTGCTAGCAACATTTTTAGATTCACTCTCTGCTGACCCTCACACATTATTCAAATATTGCTTCCATTTACCTGGCAACCCTCCCCCATTCTTCTTTCCATCCCAACCACTCTTTTTATCTCCTCACCCCAGCCCCACTTAAAAAAAAAATACCGATTTTGTCAGAAATTTTCTGGAAATAATTCTCTTCTAATATATCCAGTATTTAAAAAATTCAGCTATTAGTAAATACTAATTATAGAAAATAACCTCTTCAATGCACAAGCAGCTCTGGTTGAAGAAGAACAAAGCAAAACTGAACATAAGCCTTTTCTGAAATTACCAACCAAAATGGAGAAAAGAAAAATAACTCTATCTAGCGCAGTGGCTCATGCCTGTAATCCTAGCACTCTGGGAGGCTGAGGTAGGAGGATTGCTTGTGCTCAGGAGTTCAAGACCAGCCTTAACAAGAATGAGACCCTGTCTCTACTAAAAATAGAAAAATTAACCAGGCACACGCCTGTAATCCCAGTTACTCAGGAGACTGAGGCAGAAGAACTGCTTGAGCCCAGGAGTTTGGGGTTGCTGTGAGCTAAACTGACACTCTAGCCCTCTAGCCCTGGGGACAGAGCAAGACTCCATCTCAAAAAAATATATAACTCTAGTTTCTATATATAATTTTATTTCTAAGTTTTTTTCTTCAGGGACATGGGTATAAAATCTTATAGCTTATGAAAACTATTTTCAGAAAATTTTTTTCACATTTTTGCTTATCTAAATTCCACCTACTCTTCAAGGCTCCATTGCAAGTTTTACCTTCCTACCATCAAAGTACTAACCAGGCCCAGCTCTGCTTAGCTTCTGAGAAGAGATGAGTTAGGCACATTCAGAGTGGTATGGCTGTAGCAGACAAGTTTTACCTTCTCTATGAAGTCTTAATAATGGCTAAAATTTATTAAGTATTCACTATATGGTAGGCATATTAGGGTCTATACATCTAGCATGTATTAACTCATTTAATCTTCACAACATCCCTATGAGGTAAATATTATTATTTTCCCCAATTTACAGACAATAAAACAGGCACTGAGAGATTCTAAGTAATTTTTCCCAGGTTACACCACCAGTAAGGGGCAGAACCAGAATTTGAGCTTAGGCAATCTGGTTCAAGAGGCTGTACTCTTATCACTGTTATATGACCTCTCTTCCTAAAGACTGCAGGCCACCTGATCTCTTCCTTCTACTGTACTTGTTACATACACCCCACAATAAGTTTATTATACTCTGTACACACTTCTTTGTTATTTGTTTCACATGTGCTTGTATTTGCTCCCCAACTAAATTACAAGTTCCTTGCAGGCAATGAAACACTCAGTATAGACTTGTTAGCTAATTTTTTTAAATCCCTGGCAACCTCTATAACATTATAAAGACAGATTTTTTCCAATTTTAAAATGCAAAATATCACTTAAAAAAAGAGAAAATTTAAATATTGAGGCATGATGACAAGGGAATTTTACAGAGGGAAAAACAGCATAATCATGCCATTGCTATAAATCCTGTCACTACTAAAGAATACGAAGTCACAGGCTATGACTCAGCAAAATTACTTAACACCTGAAGGATAGCTCATGATGCCATTAGTATCAGATTTAGCATCACTAAAGTGAGGAAACTGACTATATATATTTATTTTCTTCTTACTCAATATGCATCTCCTCCTGGTGAGTCATACCTATAAAAGTGATGGACCAATCTATTTCCATTACCTAAAAGAGAACTAACACTTAAGGAAAATAAAATGAAGTTTCTTCTGCATATGCATAATCAGTAAGTGACAATCTGTGTTATCAGGAATAGCACTTACAAGGGGAAAATATACTGAAATCATAAAGGCTTCTAGGCCTAGCAAGCAGAATGGATTTTAAATAGGGTTTTTTAAGCCATCAAAATAAGAAAATAAAAATGGGAGTTCAAAGACATGATCTGTCCAGAATCACACTTAATCAACCCATTTACCAAGGTAGTTCAAAGTAAACCCCAAAACTTAATACAGGATATTAGAAGTACCACAGATCATAAACAAAAGAAAATACCCTGTATAAAACAGGACTATTACCTAAGCATTTATCAAGTTTCTTGACTATAAATCTAACAACATCAAAATCTAGAGGGCCACAGGTCTTAAGATAATTTTCAGAAAATAAAGGAGAGAAGCTTAGGGTTTTATGGGCTTCTTATCGAACATCACTTTTCAAATACACTGCTAAATACAATTTCGATTTACACACAAAATAAATAGCAAAATATTTTGCTAGCTCTCTAGGCACTTCAGCTATCTCTGGAAAAGGCTAAATGTGATCCTAAATCACAAAGAAATTCTGATTATGGAATTTTTTTTTCCTTCCAGCATATGTCAGCTCTCTAGAGCCAAATAAGTTGTGTGGCAATAAAGGGTACACATACAGAAGAAAAGGCAAAAAAGTCAGTGATTTTGTAGGCTAAGCTGGTTTGTACCCTCTGGGTTATGGTCTCTAAATGATTAAAAACAAATAGTGTTAATGCTGCTGAACTGCACACTTACGAATGGTTAAAATTACTTTTTTTTTTTTAAAGACAACTAAAATGAAAATTTTAGGTAAGTAGATAAAGTGAAAAGAAAATTATTCTGAATTTAATATAAAAAGGTATTCAAAGATGAAGATTAAATCCCCTATTTTCAAACCATAGTTAATATTTTTGTTTTTCCAAAAAAATATGGATGTCACATCATACAAAGAAGTAGAAACTAATTATAGGTCCCATATTGGGATCTGAAAAGTAAGCAAATATCTTATTTTTGATCTACACCAAACTACTATGCTAACTAGAGCTAACTCTAGAAACCAGTATCTCTGTGCAAGGTTGAAGACTACACCTCATTATGACTTCTTCAGTAACAAATCAACCTGGCCTGCTCTTTATCTGGTTGTCATGCCACTAAAGCAGAGTCTGCAACACTGTTATTCCAAAAACAGCACAGACTTTTTATTCTCATACCATATACATAGTAACAAAGCAGAAAACAGAATGAAAAACACTACCAGATTTTAAAAAGTACTGCTTGAGGCTGTTACTTTCTCCTAATCAAGGGTTTATCAACAGTACATGCCTAAGCCCCAGCTACTGAAAATACAAATCTTTTCCAAGGGCTACTCTAGCCCATATTTTTCTTATACAATTCAGTTAAACTCTAATGTTTTGCTGCAATAGAAAGTGAATATATGTCATGATTTTAACATCCACCCACTTCCTAAAGAATCCCTACAGGAAAACTTACCTCTGCAAAATGTGTTGATGTGCTATTGTCTATCCGGCTGCCGCCACCACCTAAAAAGCTAAAGAGAAAAAGGAATGAGTGGTGATTCTATTCCCAGGAACACGCTTCCCTCTCAGAAGCTAAATATAGAATGGCATAATGAGAACAAAGCTCAATAAGGAAAAATAACTCATCCCAACACGACACCTATAAAGGAAATTTATGAAGAACTGGTATGTGGATTAATCTATGAAAAATAACATAAGCCACAAAAATCAAGTGGTTTTCAAGTGAATCAAGGATAAATCAAGTGAAAAACTGGGAAGAGGGGATACCATACAGAAGGACCCACAGCAATGCAATTCAAATTTGACCTAGCAAAAGAAGAAAAACAAACATTTATCCTCAAAGAGGCTAAAAAAACAAAATAATGTTTCACTAAAAAACCATTCACCCACCACATGAACACAACATTTGAGGCTACTACAATAGCTAATATTTCTTGGGAATGATTAAATGTAGTAATGTAAGGGGCCTGGTACTGTATTTAACATACCATAAAAGGGTTCAATAAATATTTCTTCTTCTGATAGTTTATCCTATTCTTTGATTACTCTACCCACCCTTCAGAACTCATCTCAAATGCTACCTCCTTCATTAAGTCTTTTCTTAACTCACCAAATGAGACTCCTCCACACTCCTCTGCATTCTGACTTTGATTCTAAATTCTACATTGTATTATAAATATCTAGGATTTGCCTCATCCATTTCAACTCGGCTCCCTTATTTTATAAATATAAATTCAAAGGGCAAAGTCTACAAATTATTAATGCCTCAAATACATGTAGTGTTTACTATGTGTCAGACATTATACAGAGTACTTACCACCTTTAAAAAACCCACGTCATATCCTATAGTGGAAACTCAAAAATAAAGTTGCTGAATTAATATCACATGTGTAAACAATAAAATAACTACCTATTCCCAAAACCCCTAAAGACTGGGGAGAAATATTAAATCTCATTGTCCCCACGGAATATACAAAGAAGAGAGAAAGTGAGTTAACACTTTGGGGAAAAGGGGATGGGAAAGATTATAAGAACTGCTAGGTGCTTTTACTTCAAGAGACACACATAAGCACACAAACATACATAGACAAACTCAGCCCAATGATATTAAGTCAACAAACTACTACAAATAGTTACATTTTCAGGATTAAAATACCAATCCAGGCACGATGCTAAACTCATTGAAAAAACGAACACAACCTGGTTAGTTTGAAACCAAATGTGAAAAAGCAAAGCTAATGCTATCCCTTTTTTTGTTTTTGTTTCTGTTTGAGACAGAGTCTCACTCTGTCACCTGGGTTAGTGTGTCCTAGCATCAGCAACCTCAAACTCCTGGGCTGAAGCAATTTTCCTGCCTCAGCCTCCGGAGTAGCTGGGATTAGAGGCGCAGGCCAGCATGCTCAGCTGAGTTTTCTATTTTTAGTAGAGATGGGAGACGGGGTCTCGCTCTTGCTGAGGCTGATCTCAAACTCTTTTTTTTTTTGAGACAGAGTCTCCCTTTGTTGCCCAGCCTAGAGTGGAGTGCCATGGCGTCAGCCTAGCTCACAGCAACCTCAAACTCCCGAGCTCAAGCAATTCTGCTGCCTCAGCCTTCCGAGTAGCTGGGACTACAGGCATGCGCCACCATGCCCAGCTAATTTTTTCTATATATATTAGTTGGCCAATTAATTTTTTTCTATTTATAATAGAGACGGGGTCTTGCTCAGGCTGGTTTCGAGCTCCTGACCACGAGCAATCTGCCAGCCTCGGCCTCCCAGAGTGCTAGGATTATAGGTATGAACCACTCCACCTGGCCTCTAATGCCATTCTTTATGTAATTACTTTCAGGTTTCATTCTCTGATTAAAAACCATTTAATACCTATATTTGTTTCAGAAATTAAAAACACTTTTGTAAAAATCACTTCAAACGTACAGAAAGCCCAAAAGTACCTGCACATCTACGCTAAATGAATTGACCAAGTTTGGTGGCTCACACCTGTAATTCCAGCAGCAGGCTGATCATTTGAAGCCAGGAGTTTGAGACCAGCCTGGACAACATGGCAAGATCCCATCTCTACAAAAAAACCTTTTAAACAACTGGGTGTGGTGACACGTACCTGTAGTCCCAGCTACTCAGGAGGCTGAGGCAGGAGAATAGCGTGAGCCCAGAAGTTCAAGGCTGTAGTGAGCTATGACTGTGCCACTGCACTCTAGCCTGAGCACCAGAGCAAGATCCTGTCTCATGCATGCATTCATTCGTAGGTAAATAACTAAATAAATAAATATTTTACCAAATAAATAAATTACCAAATACCATAAAAAACAAAGCTGAGTGTTCCAGAATTTTCTGCCTTTCCTCTCTAGAAAAAAGAAAAAAAAAAGAAAAAGAAAAATATTTTTAAAATAAATAAATAAATAAATAAATAAATAAATAAATAAATAAACAAACAAAGCTGAGTGGCTATATATCCATTTTACTGCTCAAGCCTAGACAGGCTTCCAGGGCTCTTCTTTCCTAATTTTACTATGCAGTTTCAGGGATTAAAATATCCTTGGATGGCCAGCATGGTGGCTCACACCTGTAATCCTAGCTCTCTGGGAGGCCAGAGGTGGGAGGATCACTCAAGGTCAGGAGTTCAAAACCAGCCTGAGCAAGAGCCAGACCCCGTCTCTACTAAAGATAGAAAGAAATTAATTGGCCAACTAAAAATATATAGAAAAAATTAGTGGGGCATGGTGGCGCATGCCTGTAGTCCCAGCTACTTGGGAGGCTGAGGCAGGAGGATCGCCTGAGCCCAAGAGTTGGAGGTTGCTGTGAGTTAGGTTGACCCCATGGCACTCTAGCCCGGGGAACAGAGTGAGACTCTGTCTCAAAAAAAAAAAAAGAAAAAGAAAAAGAAAAGAAAATGTAGTATACCATACCATGGAGCACTACTTATCTATAAAAAGGAATAAAATAATGTCTTTTGCAGCAACTTGGATGAAACTGGAGACCATTATGCTAAGTGAAGTACCTCAGGAATTAAAAAAAAAAAACCCAGATATACTCTCTAATAATTAGGAACTAATTGATGGGCACACATGGGCACAAAGAGATAAAAGGTCACAGGAAATCAAGACAGGGGTAGGGGGATGAGGGGAGGGGTAAAAACCTACCTGTCAGGTACAATGAACACTATTCAGGTAAGGAGCACACTAAAAGTCCTGACTTAAGCATTATAAAAAGTATCCACGTAACAAAAACATCTGTACCCCCCCCTCATTATTTTGAAATTTTTAAAATAAGAACATAAAAATAAATAAATAAATAAATAAATATCCTTGGTAATTGAAACCATCAACTCCATCTTTTGAGTAGAAGTTGAAACCCTCTCAGCATTCCCTTTCCTTAAAATTCCTTTGTATTTTAAGAGTAATAGAGCTAGGCTGGGCGCGGTGGCTCCCGCCTGTAATCCTAGCACTCTGGGAGGCCGAGGCGGGCGGATTGCTAGAGCTCAGGAGTTCGAAACCAGCCTGAGCAAGAGCGAGACCCCGTCTCTACCATAAATAGAAAGAAATTAATCGGCCAACTAATATATATATAGAAAAAATTAGCTGGGCATGGTGGCACATGCCTGTAGTCCCAGCTACTCGGAAGGCTGCTCTGAGCTAGGCTGACGCCACGGCACTCACTTTAGCCTGGGCAACAAAGCAAGACTCTGTCTCCAAAAAAAAAAAAAAAGAGTAATAGAGTTAAAAAAAAATTAAAAAATAAATTTTAAAAAAGAGTAATAGAGCTAATCGCAGAGAAGAGATAATCAAAACAAAATAACCACAATGTTCTGAGAAATGTTACAAAGTTTAAGAAAAATTACAATGTGCCCCTCTAGATATATGTTTAGTAGCAGATGGTACCCATTATCCAATATTTACATGCAAGGACTTTCTCTTATTAATTTTTACCATCCATTACAATTAAGTATTCAAAAATCAGCAAACGTCTCTAAGACACTCATTCTAAGAAGATTTCTTCACTCATTTAAAAGGCCGGGCGTGGTGGCTCACGCCTGTAATCCTAGCACTTTGGGAGGCCGAGGCGGGCGGATTGCTCAAGGTCAAGAGTTCGAAAACAGCCTGAGCGAGACCCTGTCTCTACCAAAAATAGAAATAAATTAATTGACCAACTAAAAATATATATACAAAAAAAAAATTAGCTGGGCATGGTGGCACATGCCTGTAGTCCCAGCTACTTGGGAGGCTGAGGCAGTAGGATTGCTGAGCCCCGGAGATTGAGGTTGCTGTGAGCCAGGCTGATGCCACGGCACTCACTCTAGCCTGGGCAACAAAGTGAGACTCTGTCTCAAAAAAAAAAAAAAAAAAAAACATAGACATCTTTCAAAACACACAATCTTAGCATTTGAGTAGTGGTTACCAGAGCACCTATATAGGAAAACTTTTGACCTATAAAAGCACAAATTAAAGAATTGTTAAGAACAGGATTCAGAGAATTCATACCCCCCTGCTAGATAAAGATTCAACCTGCCGTTAATCATTATCCTCATTTATAATTGTATTTTATGTAAAAGTACTATCTGCCTAGAGAAAATAGGATTACTACTTTAAAACTTGGGAGATTATCAAGGAGTAACATAGGTTTAAAAATAAGTAATTTTTTAAAATTTTTAAAAAATAAAAATTTAGGTTGGCCCTGGCGTAGTGGCTCACACCTGTAATCTCAGCACTTTGGGAGACCAAGGTGAGAGGATCACTTGAGGCCAAGAGTTCAAGAACAGCCTGGGCAACATAGCAAGACGTCTCTACAAAAATAGAAAAATCAGGCATGGTGGCATGTGCTTATAGCCCCAACCTATAATCCCAGCTATTCAGGAGGCTGAGGCAGGAGGATCGCTTGAGCCCAGGAATGAGTTTGCAGTGAGCTATGATGATGCCACTGCATCCTAGCCTGGGCAACACAGTAAGACCCTGTCTCAAAAAATAAAAATAAAATAAAATAATGATAAAATAAAACTTAGGAAAAATAAGCCAATTAATTGCTCCCTCACAACCAATATATCCTTTATTTAGCACATGCAGAGCATAAATGCCTGAAACAAATATTTGACACAATTATAACAGCACAAATAAAAAGCCCCAAGTTGGCAAGCCATCCACACAAAATTGCTATTTGCTGTGTCATGCTAATCTTATAGGTTTAGTGCTGGTATTATGTCACTTAAAACCAAGATTATTAATTGACATTTAAGTGTTTACACCAAACTAGATCCCATGCCACATACTGCCCCAAAAGCTCCAGCTCATTTATACATAGAATCACCAATCATTAGTAAAGTAAAACTAATAGTACATACTGTAAAATGTGTAGTTTTTCCTGGTTGTGGAAGGGACCTTCAACTTTAGATTCTGCCAACAGCAACAGTAAAGGAATTATCTACTGCCATTAAAATCCCCAAAGTCACTCCAAGATTAAGAAGCTTCAGGATTCTTTTTAACCAGTTGGTACTTCCTTAATTTTCCAATGATTAACCAGACAGTCCCCAAGGAACAAATGTGTCACTGTGTTTAACCAAACAAGGCCATCCTATCAATGCTATTCAAGAATTTATTAAGATTTTATAGTTTTATTCATATAAACCAAAAAGGAATATATAAATATTGTCACTTTCAGAAATATTTCCCTTTTTATCAGGTTTATACCTTTATTAAGGCCAATGAGAACAAATTTCAAGCATAACAAACCCAAATATTAATATTATAATGGCAAGATCACCAAAATTTGGCAGCAATAATCTTAATAAGAACAAGGGACCAAGGCTTCCTCAAAGCAGAGTAACAACTCAGTTTCCCTAACCAGAACAGACTGTTTACCTTATTACATATCTTTGTTGGAAGTCACTCCCTAAGCCCCCAAAGAGGTATAACAGCATTTTAACCTTCAGACAAGAGTGGTCACTAAACTAATAACCTAAGGGAACCTCAAAGTCTCAGACAATAAACGAAAATTTACCAGATTTACTCTGAGATAGGCATAGAGGTATAGTACAGAGGCCACACACAATCAGAAGCAGTATATCTCATCACATCCACTATCATATCACTTTCCAAATTTTCCCATTTTTCTTTCCCATCTCTCTCCCATTTTTCTGCCCGTGCGTGTGCCATTCTTCTTGTGCCCTTGCACTTCTCCCTCCCTCTCTCTCTTTCCAGAGAGTATATTATAAAATAAATTCTTTCCAATTCACTCAATGCTGAGAGAAAAGTTTTGATAACACAACAACTGGTTCATTCATGAGCTTGTACAATACCTGGAATCATCTGTCACTTCTTCAATAAAGCCCGATTCACATCTGGGACAAATATATTCCTATAAAACAAAGGAAGAAATAAAAAAAAGTTTTCATTAGAAAGCAAAGTGTATATACAGTTTCAGAGTAAGGTTTTACACAGCTGATGTTCTGAAATGTATGGATTTGCTGACTCCCAAGATAGTTTTTCTATTATATTCTGGCAAATACAGACTTCTATAAGATATCTGCAGAATGACTTCCTGGCTACTTAAGAGGTTTCTACTAAGAGATAAAAGGAGGAATGTAAAAGATTTTTTTTCTTTCTTTTTTTTAGTTTCAGTTGATTTATTTTTTAGCTGGAATGAATTCATCATCCAATTATGTCTTCAGATCTAATGAAAAAGTTCCACTGTATATAATCAAATCAGTCACATAATACTTACGGGTATAAAAACTGCTATTTTTGACTATGTACATACAACAGATATAAGCTGAATAAGACAGTATAAATCAATCTGTAGTTTAGGAAATTTGCAATGAAACTTTACAATACTTCTAAATCCATTTCTGATTACCAATGGTTCCAAATAAAAATTTAATAGTCTCAAATATTCTACAGAAATGACAATTCAAATAACCAAAACAATTCATTAAATCAGTTTCTATTTCCTTCAGTAATAAATCTTTCTTTTAAATAGTATCAAGCTTTGGAAATAAGAAAGAATACACTTTAGAGACTGCCTTATAATTTTAAAAAGTGTATTTTAACTGCCTATTAAAATAGAACTGAGTGTTACAGCTCTTTTAGAATGTGTCTAGCAGGTTTTCCGGTCCTTACTGGAAGACCAAAAAAAAAAAAGAAAATATATCTGGGAAGGACATTTTCAATTATTTTCTTGTCCCCTATATTTCCTGAACCCTGAACTTTGTTTTATACAAAGGTGATATAAGCTGTATTTGGCTGCTCAAGGACAGACGGTAACTCAAACACTCAAATGCTTTCTTATGAGGGTTGTAAAGAAAAAAAGACCAAACTCTAGTGTTAGGAAGATTAGTTTGATGGGGACTCAAACTAAGAAACAGTAAATTTAATAAAATAATTGCTATAACCAATGAACACTGGAAACAGAAATAAATACGAAAGTTTGCCAGGGGGAATCCAGGAAGGCTTTGTCCGAAACAAAGACCCCAAAAATTAGTCTGTTTGTTCTATGACAAAGGAAATTATGGATTTAGGACCATAATGATAGAATATAGCACACATGGAGGTTGGAAGGGAGTAGTAAGAGTGATAAGCAGACAGGGACTGAATTATGGAAAACTTGAGATTACTATGAATTTTACCCTGTGGATCAGAAACTCTCAGCCTTTTTTCTCCTCTACACACATGAAGAATGTCACACTTATAGTGGGTATACTGTGAACTACTCCAGAAATAAAATAATCTAGATACCATATAAATCCCTTGAGTCCTTCTCTCTACTCCTTCATCCCCAACCCTTCAAGGTAGCTGTAACTCTAACGTTTTCTCTTCTATTAAGAAAGTGTATCAGAATGCAAGTTAGGTTGATTTTACAAGGCAACCCTTAAATCTATTCTAATGTCTAAAATTTTAAAAGTCAATCACAAAATGTAATTTGTCACAATCACAAGTGCTGGGCCCTCTTCTTTCTTCCCTCTCTCTCTCTCATTCATTCCCACTGATTTAACATATTGACTGCCACACTAGAAAAATAATTTCCATGGGGCCACAGTGTTTTATTAAAATGATTCTAATTTGTTATTTTTTATTGTTTTTTGTGCGTGAGTTAAATGAAACGCAATCCGTGTTTTTAGAATTAAATTGTCAATATTAATTGTAACAATAAGACCATCAACAAGTAAGATTTTCACGAACCAATTGCAGGCTTTTGCCTCATGGGACCCCGGGCTCAAAACTAGCCTGAGTTAAATACAACTCACATAGCAGTCAATGTGTTAAATATCCCTATATGCCAACAACTCCCAAATGTGTAACTCCATCCCAGGCCACTCTTCTGAATTCCAAATTCATTTATCCTAACATGATAGAATTCTTCATTTATCTTAACATAATACTATTCTTGGCCAGGTGTGGTGGCTCATGCCTATAATCCTAGCACTCAGGGAGGCTGAGGAGGGAGGATCACTTGAGCTCAGGTGTTCATTACCAGCCTCAGCAAGAGTGAGACCCTGTCTCTACTAAAAATACAAAGAAGTTAGCTGGGCAACTAAAAAAAATAGAAAAAATTAGCCGGGTGTGCCTGTAGTCCCAGCAACTCGGGAGGTTGAGGCAGGAGGATTGCTTGAGGTTGCTGTGAGCCAGGCTGATGCCATGGCACTCTATTAAGGGCAATGGAATGAGACTCTGTTTCAAATAATAATTTAAAAAAATAATTAATAATAATACTATTCTTTCTCACATGCTTGAGAGGTAGTATACCAGTTTGATCATACTGTAAACCTGTGAGTCATTCCTAACACCTCTGTCTTCCACATCCCACCAACAAATCCTGGTACTCCTAACTTAAATGCATTTCTCAAATCTACATACTTTTTGTTCCACTGCCACTACCTTAATCCAAGCCACCACTGGCTCTGAGCATTATCTTCCCTTCTAAATCATGTCCTATTTTCTTTTAGCCCATTCCAATCTATTCTGCATATTGAAATAAAAACCAGCTTTTTAAAAACACAAAACAGACATCATTCTCCAGCTTAAAATCTTTTAATTTCCAAAACACTTAGGATAAAATCAAACTCTTCAACATGACTTATAAGGCCCTGATTCAGCTGGTCTCTGCTCAACTTCACAACTTCCTTTTAGGTTACATTTCCTCTTCTTCATGCATTCCAGCCACACTGACCTTAATTTTTTTTAAATAAAATAATTTTGTTGATTATTTTTAGACAGAGTCTCACTCTGTTGCCCAGCCTAGAGTGCCATGGTGTCAGCCTAACCTGAGCTGAAGCAATCCTTGTGCCTCAGACTCCCGAGTAGCTGGGACTACAGGCATGCACCATGCTTGGCTAATTTTTTCTATGTTTTCAGTCGTCCAATTAATTTCTTTCTATTTTTTAGTACAGACGGGGTCTCACTCTTGTTCAGGCTGGTATTCAACTCCTTACCTTGAGCGATCCTCCCACCTTGGCCTCCCAGGGTGCTAGGATTACAGGCGTGAGCCACCAAGCCCAGCCCTGACTTTCTTTTAATTATTCTAACTTATCAAGCTCATTATTGCCTTGAAGATTCCTGTAACTTGAATAGTAGTCCCTTAACTTTCCCTGAACTTGCAAAAGGCTTCTAATCCTTCAGGTCTCCATTTTAACGTCATTTTAGAAAGACCCTCTTTTAATCACCCAATCTAAAGTGATCTCCTCTTATTATTTTCTTCTACAGCATCCTGTTAAATCCTTTATAGCACTTATCATCATTTGTAATTACATACTTGTTTCATACTTTGTTAATGTCTGTCTCCACTCAGTAAGCTCTAAGTTTCATAATGGCAGGATCCACATCAGTTTTATCACTATAAGCCTAAGACAGACAAGTGTTCAATAAATATTTGTTGAATAAATGAACGTGAAATTACTTGCCACATCCTTACAACTAAGAAGAGTCAAGGCACCCTAATTGGATACAGTCAGAGAATGGAGAAAATAAAAGTAAAGGACTAAAATATCTGAAAACTTGACACACTGCAGCCTAATCATAAGGACAGTAGAACCTGAGAATTTGGAGGTAGAACTATTCTGGATGATCATGAGGTTCAAGATATGGTTATGAGTAAGTGGCTGAGGTGGAGCATGGACAAAGGTCTTTAAAGAGTCACCTACATTGATACTGAACTTCCAAGATGACGTTTGGAGTTGTGGTAGAGAGACGATGATTTCAAAAAGCAGATTTCGGCCGGGCGCAGTGGCCCGCGCCTACAATCCTAGCACTCTGGGAGGCCGAGGCGGGCGGATCGCTCGAGGTCAGGAGTTCGAAACCAGCCTGAGCAAGAGCAAGACCCCATCTCTATTAAAAATAGAAAGAAATTAATTGACCAACTAAAAATATATACACAAAAAATTAGCCGGGCATGGTGGCGCATGCCTGTAGTCCCAGCTACTTGGGAGGCTGAGGCAGTAGGATTGCTTGAGCCCAGGAGTTTGAGGTTGCTGTGAGCTAGGCTGACGCCATGACACTCACTCTAGCCTGGGCAACAGAGTGAGACTCTGTCTCAAAAAAAAAAAAAAAAAAAAGGCAGATTTCACAATTGGGAAGACAAAAATGACTCTGAAGCAAGAATCAAATCTAATGATTTAGAGTAGAGAAGTGTCCAAGTTCTCTCTTCATAATCCCAGGCATGGTTCTAGGAACCAGGCTGTCAGCCACCACAGCCCCTTCACAGGAACAGGACACTTTCAAAGTATAAGCCAAACTATAGAAGCTTGATGGTTCTTCCTGTCACCTGGAAGTGACAATTATTCCTCCATTTACAAGCAGCAATCAAACCTTTCTAAATAATTCAATTTGGATGACAGGGGAAAAGCAGCCAAAATTCTTTCCAAACTCTCTGTTAATTATTCTTGGTAAAAAAGTAGCTAATTATAGGCCGGGCGCGGTGGCTCACGCCTGTAATCCTAGCTTCTGGGAGGCCGAGGCAGGCGGATTGCTCAAGGTCAGGAGTTCAAAACCAGCCTGAGCAAGAAAGAGACCCGTCTCTACTATAAATAGAAAGAATTAATTGGCCAACTAATATATATAGAAAAAAATTAGCTGGGCATGGTGGCGCATGCCTGTAGTCCCAGCTACTCGGGAGGCTGAGGCAGAAGGATCGCTCGAGCCCAGGAGTTTGAGGTTGCTGTGAGCTAGGCTGATGCCACGGCACTCACTCTAGCCTGGACAACTAAGCGAGACTCTGTCTCAAAAAAAAAAAAAAAAAAAAAAAAAAAGTAGCTAATTATAAAACAAACATTCTCCTCCAACCCCACTGATTTTTTAAACAAAGAAAAACAAAAAATTTATAAAACAAACCTCACAGCCATGGACTATCTCTCCTGCAATCACCATTACAGGAAACACAGAGAACTTTTTTAGAATTCACAAGCTCTTCATTCTCTAATTATCAAAGTAAAAAAATGCACACTGTCTCTTATATACTTTAATAGCCTGATTTCAGAACAAAATCTGTCTCAGAATACTATCTAATTTTCATTCTTTTTTTTTTTTTTTGAGACAGAGTCTCCCTTGTTGAACAGGCTAGAGTGAGTGCCGTGCGTCAGCCTAAGCTCAAACAGCAACCTAAACGCCTGGCTCAAGCAATCCTTCTGCCTCGGCCTCCCGAGTAGCTGGGACTACAGGCATGTGCCACCATGCCCGGCTAATTTTCTATATATATATTAGTTGGCCAATTAATTTCTTTCTATTTACAGTAGAGACAGGGTCTTGCTCTTGCTTAGGCTGGTTTTGAACTCCTGACCTCGAGCAATCCGCCCGCCTCAGCCTCCCAGAGTGCTAGGATTACAGGCGTGAGCCACCGCGCCCGGTTTAATTTTCATTCTTTTAATCTGCCTCTTGGAAGCCTGAAAACGCCAAAATAATATTCTAAAGGTATTTCCTGTTTCTAGAATTTCTTTTTAAAAGTTTTAGATCCTTCCACTTACTAGCATTACTTTTCTTCTGGATTTACACTAGTCACTAGCTTTCCAATGAGTTCCAGCTATGTCAAGGGTCCACCCCTTCACTCTAACTCAAAAATTTTATCAACTGCTCCAAACTAATCCAGAGATGGTGTGTTGGACGAGAACAGGCGTGAATAAGATTGGCTATAAGTTCATAATTGGTGAAGCTGCATAAGTGTAGATTTGTTATACTATTCTCTCTACATTATTTTGTAGTAAAAAAAAAAAAAAAAAAATTAACAACCTCAACTTTTTTTTTCTGAGCTAGAGTACAGTGCACCATCATAGCTCACTGCAACCTCAAATTCCTGGGCTCAAGCAATTCTTCTGCCTCAGCCTCCCAAGGTGCTAGAACTACACTACAAGCACACACTACCACATCTAGCTAACTGTTCTATGTTTTATAGAGACAGGATCTCCCTCTTGCTAAGGCTGGTCTCGAACTCCTGGCCTCAGTGATCCTCCCACCTTGGCCTCCCAAAATGCCAGCATTACAGGTGTGAGCTACCATACCAGGCTTGTTTCACTTAGTTTTAATTCTGGAATAATATTTTAGCTGAGTACAGAAGTCTAGGTTGGCACTTATTATCTCTCAGCTTATCAGAGCAGCTTATCAAACCACCACTGTGTTTTGAACAAAATACAGATTAGACATAAGGTCTTAGGGAAGTCACATTAGCTTTAATTTCCTAATCTGTAAAATGGAAATGCTTGATTCACTGCTGTATGGCTGTAAAAATTAAAATTTTTACATTTAAATATGGCAACCTGTCTTTTCTTACTCATAATCACAATTTAGTCATGCCATACATTGAGATTACAATCATATTGGACTTTAAGTGTTTATCTCTTGGGTCACTTCTAAAGATGGCTAACTTCACATTTTAATTTTTCCTAATTTTTTTTTCAGACATAATCTTAATTTCAATTAAGGGGAATCTTCCATGAGTTAAGAAGACTTTGTAAAAGTCAAACAGGAACCAAACAGTCTTTCTGTATCTTCACATTTCTCCCCATAGCCAGGCCTTGGCCTTAGTATCATCCTGACATATTCAGATACAGAGTTCTAAATTTTAAGCATAAAAGGTATGTGTTAGGATGGGGAGGTAGGGAACAGACGGCAAATCATGAACAATTAGGAATTAAGCAGCCATTATATGCCCAGCACTATGGAAATCTCTCCTCTGCTTACACATTAATACATCAAGTATTCACATCCAACTTCTCTCTAAAATATTTCCAATGTATATAGCCTGCATGGTCACAAAATCTTGCCCCCCAGAATTCAGTCAGTCATTTCTATTATCCCATCTGTAAAATAAAAGCATAACAAAAACCCTGTTACTTACCCAGAGTCACTGGAAATAGGAACCCAGTTATTTCCACCAAACTAAACTGTTTTCCCCCTAGGATCTGAAAGTTTATACTGTATACAATTTTAGTGAAGATACTCAGTAGCAGGTATACTTGAATGAACTGTTCCAGATGTTCCACTGCCTGTTTCATCTACAAATAACCACAAGTAGAAATATTTTTTACCATTAATAGTCTGAATCAGGAACAACTCTCTAAGCATATCCTAGCACTGAGCTTACTTACCCACTTAAAATAACAGCATAAGAGGACAAAAAGCACTTGAAATACAGGAAGGAAAGGGAAAGGATGGTTTTAATGCATTATTTTCTTTTCCCTCCTATATTTCAAAGGATCATTTATCACAGTATGTGACATCTTGACAGGACAATGATCTACAGGCCAGGAGACCTATTATATCAAGCCCCACAATGTGAAACTTATATACTCTTGAACTTTATACAAATCTATATCCAATATTTATTCAGTATATCAAATGTAACATAAAGATTTACTATTTATTTCCTAATTCCACAGCTTTGCTTTTCTACATCTTCATTTTCAACTTTGTTTTTATTTTACCTAAAACAGAAGAGGCCTATTTTCTGTCTAGTCTGACAGCTGAAATCTAAGATCACAATATTAAGTTAATCACATTCTACTGTTCATAATCTCTTTTGAGTATCACATGGCAAAAAGTTGAGAAATTCCTAATTAGAAGAATTGGGAACATAAAATGTCTCAAACACATCATAGCTCCTAGGCCATTAACCACTACACACTTTTTTTTTTTTTTTTAAACAGAGTCTCACTTTGTTGCCGGGCTAGACTGCATGGTGTCTGGGGTCAAGCGATCCTTCTGCCTCAGCCTCCTGAGTAGCTGGGATGGGACCACAGGCATGCACCACCATGCCCAGCTAATTTTTTCTATATATATTAGTTGGCCAATTAATTTCTTTCTATTTATAGTAGAGACGGGGTCTCGCTCTTGCTCAGGCTGGTTTCAAACTCCTGACCTCGAGAAATCCGCCCGCCTCGGCCTTCCAGAGTGTTAGGATTACAGGCGTGAGCGAGCGCGCCCAGCCAGCACGCCCAGCCTACGCGGCGCCGAGCCTACGTCAAATACCCTGCTTTCTTCTAGAGTCTGGTTCCCTTTTCAGACTAGATTAAATACTTCCTCCCTTTTCAAAAGCATCAAGTTAACCCCAAAACAAAGACAATAGAACTTCTGAACTCTGTTCCCAGTTCCACCATTACCCTCAAGGTCCGTGTGAAGACCTGTTTCTAGAGCACAAATGCTATCCTCACTGATTTGTCTTCCCCAACTCTCCTTTAGGAAAATAAGAAGACTTTTCTCATTCGTTAAAAGAAAGAGAAAAGTTTCCAGTGTAAGCATTTTGAAATTAGTTCTCCGATCTCAAGAAGTCTTAAGCTTGTTCTCTTGGCTACTAATAAAAAAGAAAATCAGTTTACAAAAAAGGAAACCATTAGGCCACAATTTTAGTGTTACATGAGGGTACCTATGCAATTTAAATACTGTTGGAAGAGCCATGATTCAGTTCCAGGCCAATAAAACTGTCTTGATTTATGGTCTCGCCACCTCAGAATAGTAATATTCACAATCTTCATCATTTTGTTCCTTCATTCCAGGCCATGACTGAACACTGACATTATCAGAGACTCCTAACAGGCGTGCATAATCAACCAACCCTCTTTAGCTCATTGTGTACCAAGGTAGAAAAAAATCAGGTCACGGGACAAAGTGTTACTTGATACATACTTGGTCAGAGAGACAAGCAGGCAAATTTTCTACGGAAAAAACAGATGAAACTACAAGAATTATCAGAGAAAAAGTTAACTTCATAAAACACAATATAGTCAGAAAAGATTTAGTTATAGTGTTTTTTGCTTGCTCACACCAAAGGCAGCAAGAAGTGGAACCACTGAGTGGCACAGATATAAAATGGTGAATGATTCAAAAAGTATAAATCTTTAGTTCTGGCATACACCACAATAGTGTGGAAATAGTATTTCTCTTCTCACTTTTAGCTTAGGCTGATACAATCTTCTTTCATAAACATTCACTCACTCAGCAAACATATTCTAAGCTCTACATTCCAAGCATTGTGTAAAAAGGAAAATAACCTGGGATTAAAAGTCACTGAATTCAACTACGAAGTGCATGCTCTGATAAAAATCACGCTTCCACTAATAATGTTCTAGTAGTTAGGGAATAAAAGCACATAAAACAAACTTCTGCACATCCTAATCTTAGGTACTTAGCCTCAAAATAAGAACTAAGTGATGCTTCCGAACCAGGTTAGGGTAATGATTTTGAAGCTAAACAAAGCTGGACTGGTAATCATTTCACTTGTCCATCTTAAATACACATACAGACAGACACACACACACAAAACTGGCCTGGAAACAGAATGATAAACCAGCTGTGTGATGGTGGGGAAATCACTTTATCTAATTAAAATAGTATCTGAAACATAAATTCTCAACAAGTGTAGGTTCTAATAAATTCTTCTAAGCAATCTGGATATGGAGCATTTCTCAAACCATGTCCCACAAGGTATTAATCAGTGGTCTGTTAAGGACAAAAAACAGAATTGGAAAAGGCTGAATTAAACAATATTAAACATGTTGCTTTACTGAATGATTTTTCAGAACTATTAATATGCCAATCTGTATCATAAAAGGGGAAGTGGAGGAGAGAGACAGGGAAAAGACCTAGTATGAAATATTTTTACATCACTCTGAACTCTTATTAAATTTCCTGGCACACAGATTAGGAAACAGATTTAGAATACAGATTTTCAGACTTTCAGTTTCCATAAAACAGTTCAATTTTAAAATTAAAAAATTGGGAATCCACATGGATTACCAACACTTTTATTCTGCCAAGTAAAAATATTGTTTTTTAAAAAAATCACCACCTACTATCACCATCATTTCATTTCAAAAAGTATCATTTTAAGACCAAAAAGATAGGAATAAAGCATCGGCCTTTAAATTAAATTATATTAATTAAGAAACAAACCTTGGCCGGGCACTGTGGCTCACACCTGTAATCCTAACTCTCTGGGAGGCCGAGGCAGGCGGGTTGCTCAAGGTCAGGAGTTCAAAACCAACCTGAACAAGAGGGAGACCCCGTCTCTACTATAAATAGAAAGAAATTAATTGGCCAACTAATATATATAGAAACAATTAGCTGGGCATGGTGATGCATGCCTGTAGTCCCAGCTACTAGGGAGGCTGAGGCAGGAAGATTGCTTGAGCCCAGGAGTTTGAGGTTGCTGTGAGCTAGGCTGACGCCAAGGCACTCAATCTAGCCTGGGGAACAAAGTGAGACTCTGTCTCAAAATAAATTAATTAATTAATTAATTTAATTTAATTTAAAAAATGAAAAACAAACCTTTAAATTAAATATGTTTAGCACTGTCTTCCTTTCTACCATATGCCCACAGAGCAACACAGAGCCTCTGATTTAGATCTCTTCATCAAAATAAAAATAATACTTGGAATTCTAGTATTGACTTTCCATCAACAAGATAAAAAAATTTGACAAGTATTATATCTAATTCACTTCACAGCAGGAACATCAGGTCAGGAAAAACAACATACAAACTGGTTGTTTAAAGTAGTCACTGATCATTACAAAGTAAAAAAATAATGAGTTAACTGAATAGAACTTTAAAAGCGAAAGCAATGTAAAAGCAACCTCAAAGCAAAACAAAGAGTGATATTTATAAAATAGTCCTGAAAAGGAAATTATCCTAGACCAAATTACTGTCACTGAATTCCTAGTCTTCAAAAAATGTGGTCTTAATTCATTCAGTCAACATTACCAGCATTAAGAATGTACTGCTTTAGTAAAGGAAAACCTCGACATTGCTTTACATTACATCCTCTAGCCTAATATTTTCAAGACTGTTCATTATCATAAAAGAATATATGTATTAATAGTTTTTAACTCATGAAGCAGATTGTTTCAGAGGTAATATTTAAATCCTAGTAAAATTAAGTGGCTACCACATGATCTTTTAGAAAAACTATAGAACGAAATTCCCTTACACAAAATCCAAAAATACCCAAAAGCTCAAATCACTAAATCATAAATAGCAGGAATAAACACAACTGTCTCATTTTATAGACAAGGAAAACTAAGGCCATGAAACATTCAATAATTTGTTTAAAGACTAAAACAAAAGTTTTTTTTCCCATTGTGCTATAATACTATTTATATATAATTAATAAAATAAATAAAATCAGCTATAAAAAGGGCTAATAACAGTTGCAAAACGAGGGCCAGGGGTTAGTTCTACAGCTTACAGACACAATTTATTCTTAAAGCCATTTCCTACCATTTTTAAATATATCTCAGTTCTAAAATGGGCAAAAACGCATTTGCTGTAATGTTGAGATAGCTACATTATTTTCATGTTTAAACAAAAAGTCAAAAAGAGAAAATATTTAAATCCTACTTGTCTACTTGTAATACCCGTTTTTCTCAACATTTTATGAATCTCTTTACTTCTTTCTAAATATAGCCAAAATACGTAGGACAGCTCCTAAAATATAGTGGGTACCAATAAAGCTATTGAATGAATCCAAATGGACTACTATTATTACTGCAAGACCTACTGCCTATTGTTTTAACATTATTGTCAAACACAAACCAACTTTAAAGAGCTATACTTCAGAAATATAGAGTGTATGTGTACGTTCACAAAGAAAATATCCATATTCAATCACATTCGGAAATAGAAACAGACATATATGGAACTGTTTTGGTTCTCACAGCGATTAAGAAGTGCTTCTGATATTTAACAGGCAGAGGCCAGGAAAGCACAGGAAAGTCTAGCACAAAGAAGAAATATTTGTTCTCAAACTTTCATATAAATAGTTAAGTGGACTAAAAATTTTTCTATAATTACCAAAAGCTAGGACCTAATTCCATTCCACATGTAAATACCAATTTTTCCTGCCTAATTTTAACGTGCACTAAATGCCCAGAAAAACAACAGATAAAACAAGATAAATTATACTTTGTGTTATATTTGTACCTTTACCAAGAATTGTCCACCATTTTTTTTGCCTCTGATAGTATCTAAGTTGCAAATACCCTTATAGCAGTCTACTCAGGTAGCTATCATGTCAAGCTGATTCTATTCTTGGTGCCAATATCTACTACATTATATCTTCCTGTTCCAGATAACCCAATATTTACAGATTGAAATATATATTATTTTTTCATTAATTATTTTCTCCCCTTTTTTTTTTGAGACAGTCTCACTCTGTTGCCTGGGCTAGAGTGCCGTGGTATCAGCCTAGCTCACAGCAACCTCAAACTCCTGGGTTCAAGCAATGCTCCTGCCTCAGCCTCCTGAGTAGCTGAGACTACAGGCATGCATCACCATGCCCAGCTAATTTTTTCTATATTTTTAGTTGGCCAATTAATTTATTTCTATTTTTAGTGGAGATGGGGTTCTCACTCTTGCTCAGGCTGGTTTGGAACTCCTGACCTTGAGCGATCCTCCTACCTTGGCCTCCCAGAGTTTATTGTCCTTTATCTTATAGCCAGATAACTTTTAAATTATATGTGCAGGAAAGTTATGCTAGCTGTGAAATTTCATCTCATTAAAGGGAATATTTCAAAATATTTATTATAAAAAGAGGTCGAGCATGGTAGCTCATGCCTGTGATCCAAGCACTTTAGGAGGCCAAGGTGGGAGGATCACTTGAGCCCAGGAGTTCAAGACCATCCTGGGCAACATAGTG